TTTGATCTCATGCTCAGCTACTGCCAGTATAATTAAGCTCACCTCACTACTCTCTTGTTCTGCTGCAGTGGAGAACCATCCCATTTTTAAACTCTGCACTGGAAACTACAATATACTTAATTGGTCATTTAGCGATCGGCATCTATGAAAGTGTTACAGTATTTGAGAAAAGAAGGTACCCAGAGCTCAGGTAGGCAGTATTTTCTGATTTGTCTGTCCCAAAATGCCTTCTTAGTCCCCCCCCAAAGTTTTTTTTAATAATCTAAGTGGACTCTACGGCACTTTTGCAAAGAAGAATGATACCACAAGTTTGTATTTCATTTTGCACCATTCTAGTTTGCAGATAAATCTTTTTTTAATTGAAAAAAAATCTTATGAAACAATTCTAGTGGCCATCAATGTTTGCAGATACCATACCCATTGCACATATTACCTTTTCAGGCCTCAAAGCAATGAAAAATTACCTATATCTATATTGTATCTAAAGAAGTGCATTAGTTTTAAGTGAGCCAAGCTGTTACTGAAAATAAAGATGGAATGGTAGGTAGGTAGGGAAGCAAATTACCTAAATGTAGATAAACCAAACAAAGGTGATAAGGAAGTACATATGGATGCCGTTTTGGCTTCTATTTTCAGCTACTAGTTTACTCCCTTCATAGATCCCTTTTCATCAAAGAAAGGGATCCTGCCACAAACCTACAGAGTCATGGAAAGAGAATCATAAGTAGCTTTACAGTCCTATTTGCATGGCTTGGCACCATCTCCTTAAACTAGAACCAATCTGCCTGACCAGAACATTTTGGGGGAAAGCCAGGAGAAGGTGTATCTCTATAATGCCTCCCATATGGAACAAACTTCCCCTAGACATGAGATTAACACTGATTTATTTTACAGTAATGAGAAGAGAGCATGCCAATAATTACATTGCTCCGATTAGTTTGCAGCTTTAAACTTTTGTACTACATTTGCTATTACACAATGGATATATAATGTCCATACAATTATGCTATTGTTTACCACTTCATTTCAGAAGTCAAATAAATAAATGCAGTATGAAACTACAACAGCAAGAACTTAAAAACACATCTGAAAAGCAAGAGTCACAAATAAATCTCAACTTACAGACCAGAGAATGAATGAAAATATCTATCTATCTATCTATCTATCTATCTATCTATCTATCTATCTATCTATCTATCTCCTAAGATGCCCAAGGAAATGGGTGTGCTTTCCACAGTTCAGATATTTATTATTTATTTATGCAATTCGTATGGCTGCCCATCTCACCTAAGTGATCTCACAACAGTTGGTATCCAAGCCAAACTGAATGCTATGCCACAGATTCCTGCCATGTGACCTTTTAGTTGTTGCTGAGTAGTTATTCATTTGTATCTGCTGTTTTGTGACATAATGAACATCGTTTCTTCAGGACCATTACTCAGTAACTGAGTTCCTCTAAGCACATGCTTATGTTATCATCTAGTCACCCTATCTTCTGTCAACTTTTTTTTTTTTAATTTAATTTATATGCCGCCCTTCTCCGGAGACTCAGGGCGGCTTACAATGCGTTAAGCAATAGCCTTCATACTTTTGTATATTTATACAAAGTCATCTTATTGCCCCCACAAACTGGGTCCTCATTTAACCTACCTTAGAAAGGATGGAAGGCTGAGTCAACCTTGAGCCTGGTAAGATTCGAACCTGCAGAAATTGCAGGCAGCCGTGTTAATAACAGGGTGCATTAAACCACTGTACTACCAAGGCTCAGAACTTCTTTTCAAGTTTAAGAATCTTCTCCAGTGACTCTTGCTTTTGCATTAGGTAATATTTAAACTTTAGTTCCATTGTTAAGGTTTCCACTGAGCAGGTTTCCACTGAGCAGTCTGGTATTATCAGCATACCGAAATCTGTTATTGCTTCTCTGAGCAATTTTGATTTTATTTCCTTCTACTCCAGCATTTTTCATGACATGGTCTGCATATAAATTAAATGTTCACTGTCACATTGTTTATATGATGCACTCCTTTCCCTATTTTGAACCATTTAGTTTCCCCTTTTCTATTTTAACTGTTGCTCCCTAGTAATCAATTGTTGGAAATAATGAACACACCTTAGGTGTCAGGCATATCTTTCCTTATGTTGAGACTCAAGTAAACATGACCCATAGAATGTTTATGGTCTGGCCTTGTGAGAACAGTGTACATGGCACCATCCATCATTATAAGTCTCTGACACTTTCATCCAAAATGTACTGAACTATTGAAAAATGAAAAGTACTGGATATTTTTCTTCAATATCCAATAGGTGGAGATATTGTTCAACTGTCAACAATTATGCTGAACAGAGATTGTGTACATTAAGGGCCTAAAGATGTCTCAACCATTAATCTATTCCAGTAGCGTTTAGGATTAGAAAAACATGTTTCTTGATATAATATTCAGCATTTCTGCCCACCCATCCCGGTTCAATGGTTAAAGTTTATATGGAGAGAAGATGATGAACTTCGTATAACATATTTCTTTTAGGAAATACTGTCTGGAAGCTGTGAAGCATAATGTGCTCCATTCAAGTGTCTAATTAGGTCCTAAAATCCACTGAAATGATAATGTTTTCTAGCTCCAATTTCACTTTTAACTCTGAAGCAAGTCTTAACATTTCACTGCTATTTCATACATCACAGCATTATTTAAGGGATCAAACTTCACTTCTTCTGTTTCCCATTCACATATTTAATTGCTACTTAGAGAGCAAGAAAAATGTAAGAGATTCTGCTAAGCTAACCTTTGGTCACTTGCTAAAAATATACATCCATCAAAAAAATAAAAATAAAAAACTAGTAACCTTGCTCACAAGATGCTATAGGATGCTTAATTTTTTTCAAGGTCAATAAATGTTGATCCCAACATCCAAATCTTCAAAATCACAGCTTCCCTTTAAAACTCCAAAATCATTTTAGTCATTTTTCTCATCCTTTTTTCATCCCAGTAAATAAAGGGAATCAACTACTAATTGAGTTCAGGGAATTTAGCTGCTGCCAAATTCAGATCAATCCAAAAATAGGTATGTTCTGTTTTTCCTTTGTCCTTCATCTTGAAACAAAACAAGATGGAAGACCTTACTGAAACTGTGAAATATCAGGCTAGATAGTATATGAGAAGGTAATTATCAAAAGAAGTCAGGAATGATGGTTTATGTAATTCTTATATTCCTCACTCTGATTGGAAGTCAAGGAAAAAGTGAAAGTTAGCAATAAAAAGCATAAGTCTCAGGATCCTAATTCATTTACAGGAATACCCTTGACTTTCATGACGGTTGTCCTGGGATGAGAGTGTGTAGTTCGTCTTATGATAAAGGGGTGATTTGTGACTTGCCAGTTTCACCACAGCAGCTGTTTTGCGAACAAGCAGCCTTCCATATCAGCCACGGTATAAATTTCAAATGAGACAAATTGCCTACTTCTGCTCTATCCCTAAAGGCGTAATTTCAGTATTTCTATACAGCTGTCAACTCCAAATGCAGGACTACAGGTGGCAAAGCACCAAGGATGTTCTGAATGTACACATGCAAAGAAGCATAGTAGTGGGGCCCACATGTTCTCTAAATGGAGAACCAAACGTAAGTATTCTGAATGTATAATTCTTTGAAGGTCATGGAGTATATAAAATGTGCTTTATGACAATAAACCCTGGTTTTATTGGTCGACTGGAAGATAGCAGAGTGCTTTCACAAGAGTCACATGGCCACCTCAAATAAACAAGTTGACTATCATTCAGGTTCCTGTACACTTTGTATTATTTTTCTTCTGAAGAAGAAGGGTCACGATTTTATTAGCTGTAAACAGTGCACTGATTGTATTTGTACTGTGACAGGAACATCTCGTTTATTGAAGTCATGAATTTATAGCTGCTCAGTTTTACAAACTAATCTGGTGTGGTGTTAATGCCAAGACCTAGTAGGAAGCCCTGAGCTCTGTTTGTCTAAAGACACCAAGGATATATGCATACAAGAGCAACACCCCAATACTGGGAGATAAGATTCCACAAGTAAAGACCTATACTTCTGCATAAGATAGGAAACTTTGGTTTCAAATCGGACTTAAGACAAAGAAACAGAATGGTTAGGGAGAAATGGTTAACCTTGGAGAGGTTACAATGGAAGCAATTTACATTCTCCCCACTGAACAAACTACATATCAAATCATATTAAAATAAATCTGCAGACTATGCTCCCTTAATTGTGAAAATCCGTTGGAGAAAGCTACGTTCTTTGTGACTAGATCCCAATTTTAGCTATTTTCACTGAAATGATCTGACAGCAAAACGGGAACGATCTGTGCTGAAAATTGTACTGAACCACTGCATTAATCCGACTTTATTGAATTTACGATCATTTCCTTGCCCACAATGTAGCACTATGCACTGGGAGGAGCGGTCCACAGCAATCATGATTTAATGTAACCACAAGAGAATTTTTTTTTTTTCTAACAATCAGATAAGCTATTCTGGGGAGAAGGAAAGGCATCTGTGGGAACAAGGGTAGGCATACAAAACAGGAAAGACACTTAATGATTAGGTAAGCTCATTAAAAAGCCAAAGGAAAACAACACAGCTAAAAATTGTATTTATTTTTGTAAATCAGATTTTAACTACCTTTTAAACATTTGCAAATGATTGTCTTATTATCATTCAGTTAGACATAGAAAAAGAAAATGAAGGGGTTTTTTTTTGCATGTACACAAATTAAATGCAAGTTTGTATTGATTAGTATCTGCACAGGGATAATTTAAGCTTTCACTCTCTGTTTCTGTGTCTCATCCAGCATTGAGTATTGATTACACATCCTTGACTATGGATGGTTTATAGCCAACTTGTAAATGGCAGAAAAAAATACTGTTTTTGTGGACTCTTTTTGTGCAGGCAAAAAGAATTCTCTACTGGCTCCACAGATTCTTTAGTTAACTTGGACCCAAATATCAGGACTTGCAATACTTTATATCTTACCCAGGGCACAGGTACTGCCAGGGAAGCAATGTTCTTCGCACAAACCAAGGTATGGGGAAACTACCAGTTTTACAAGTTCTTCTAGTTGTATAAAGGCCTTAGTGGGACCTGTAGGTTCATGGACTCCCTGAAATATAAACAAAATATACCTGTTGTCAAATACCTGGGGTATGCAAATCAACACATTTCATTTGTCCATTTTTATTTTTCTAATTGACTGAAGAAAAGAAACTTAATTATGTATGATATTGTGATGTAGGAATTATAAGTTATATCATTTTCTATAGTAGTGTTTCTCAATATCAACCAATATGTTGGCTGGGGAATTCTGGGAGCTGAAGTCTATCCATCTTCAAGTGAGACAGTTGAAGGTTGAGAAACACTGTTCTACAATACCCTACTGAATGCTCTCAACAGATAGCTCAAGCAGGCCATTCCAACAAGTCAAAGAATATAAGCACATTTAACTCTCTCCTCAGGACTTGTGACCCAATTGTGAAGCAGTGGATGTTTTAATTCTCTGGATCCAAATTATCCCAGCAATTTAAGACAGCATTCCTGATGTTTCCCCTTTTTCTTTCTCCCAACGTCAGAATTGTAACTAGGGAACATTGGCAAGGTGGGAGGCTGGTTAGAACTATCAGAGTTGTAATTGGGGGAAAATGAAAAGAAGGCAAAAATTCATGGCCAAAGCTCAGACATGATAATTTCAAACAAACAAACAAACAAACAAACTTATCCTTGAAACAGTCATTGAAACCCCTATATTGCAACATTAAACTTAATTTCATTATTCAGAAAACTAGATTTTAGATACCTCAAACTTTATCAATGAAAGACGGGTGTCAGAAATCCAGCCCTCTTAATTAAAAATACCTTGTCCAACACACATGATTAAGGCTGCATCATGTTGATTTTCTCCATAAGAGTCATGCTTACAGCATGAGAATAGAGACATTTAGGCAGGCAGGCATATCATCAATGTCTTTCTATGAGACAGACCCCAGTGATCTAGAGAACCAGTATTTGCAGGTCCAGGCCAAAAGGCAATTCTCTGCTTCATAAACTGTTTGGAAAGCAGTAATTTCATCCTTACAGTATGTCTAATGTTCATTAACAGTGGTGTGCAATACATTTGGATGTCAGTACAATACATTTCAAGGTTGCTAATGTTAAAACAGGCTAAAATCATTAATCTAATGTTAAAACAGGCTGTTCCAACATCACTACGCTTCTAGTGAGAGGTTGGAACAGGATGTTTTGAGTCAAAATATTTCAGCCTTGAAATGTTTGCCCACCCCCACAAACATCACAAATGAGAGGTGGAAATAAGACCATTGCCCACCTGTAAAATTAGCAGCATCTGGATAATGGAGGGTGGAAGGTTACTTTGGATCAGAGGAAGAATCTCATCCAACTTTACTCTTAATAAGACCAAGTCTCGGAAGCCAAGCAAGGAAATCTGACGAATGGTCAATTCTTGACCCTATACACATAGAAAAAAATGGCATCCATTGGCATTGGAATACGGTTCAATCCTATTTGCAAACTGAACCCTATGTTTTAGGACAGTAATGCCACACAATATCATAAAAGAATTGGAGAACAAGCTGGTAACATGAACATAAACTGACATTGAAATTACTGTAAATTAAAAGAAATGCAATGATTATGCTGCCCGTGGATAATCAGTTTGTGGATAGAAAGGCAGTTGTAGAAACTGTTGGTTAGGAATGGGGAAGTAGTATTCCTTTGTAGCTAGACAGGGAAAGCATATTAGAAGCAGCACCCTTTTCAAGGGGTTCCACAAAAACTTCACTATGTATCTTGGACTTTTTAAAGCATGAGGCTTAATTTATTAATTTGTCTTTGGTGGACCAATTTCAGATATTTAAAAGCACGCCAAGAGATAAAATATATAGCATTTGAATAAAGTTTTTATTTAAAAAATCATGTGTTATTTTCAAAAAGATGTGTTTTTGTTATCTGCTATCTTTAAAAAGCTAATGCCAAGCCTATGAAGCTACCATACCCTTCAACCTTTGTTTAAGCACTGTGTTTACAACTCCTATTTTAATAGCTAAAATCAACCATGCTGTATGCTCTCCATGGGAATTGTTTAGATATCTCCAACTAATGAACCAGAACTCTAGCTGGAGGGAATAAATGTACGTTAATCATCAATTCATAATAGGGTTAATGATACAACTAACAAGTTCATCAAAATGCAAAACAAGACCACAAGCCAAAGGCTCTGAAGCCAGAAATTTCCTGTTTTTAAAATGGACTGCTCTCCTCAAGATTCAAAGGGTGTGGTTATGGGTAAATAAATGGAGCAGGACTTGAAAAAAAGAAGTGAATGAAATTTCTACAGAAACAGATATGTGAGCTTCTCAGCTTGATCTAATCTTTGTTGTATTACAACCAACCTACGGTACAAATTTTAAAAAATAACCAAGAAGGAACATCTCAGCAAATAAGTATCCACAATCCAACAACATTAGGATTACAGATATGTCTTAATCTACAGGGGAACATTGGCAAGATGGGAGGCTATGAACGGTTAAAACTATCCATACCTATCAATTCATCGCAAAACGATAACAAATTTTGTTTGTCTGGCTCTTCACTTTTAATGATATGAAACCTTTTCCAATATATTTATTTGGGGGAAAATATTCTGTTACAATTAATTGCCTTTGCTTTCCGCATTTGGGCCAAATGCGGAAATTATAGAATAAAAATTCTATAATTTATATAGAGTTGTTCATTTAACCTATACATACTGGTTCATTTTTATAATTTAAATTCAATTCCACTGCCAGCCTATAGTCGTACAGCAGCAATCTACTGTAGATGAAGAGCAAAGCATCATTTTTTTTCTGTCAATGACCCTTTATATTATATTACAATTATATTTTTTCAAGCACCTTTTCTTTCAATAGTCTGGGAAATATTATAGTGTGTTATTCATAATCATTGAATTTCATATCATTATAACATTCATTGCAGCATCTTTTTGGTTGCTGTACTCAAGCTACAACATTTTAAAATAGCAAATTTCTTTTGTGCTATTTATGCTACTGTACGTTTATGAAGGAAAAGTGTGAAAGAGAGAGCACACTGCATGAAAACATCTCTTATAATATGAAGCTTTCATCCATTTATCTGTACTTCAAGAAACAACTTTCCATTTTTCCATCGTATTTTGGCTAGACAATCAGCTAACCTCAACCAAATGGAGTCACAGTTGGTTGAAAAGCCATAAAGACCTCAATTATTTCTCTGTCAAACTGGAGGAAGGTTTTAAATGGCATGCTACTGAGCTCTGTCTTTGGAACCAGTATGCTTCAATATGCTTATTTTTATTTATTTAAAATGGAAAGCACTTGTCTGAACAGTAGTGCGGATAAAAAACAATCCAGGACAGCATTTCAATCAAAAAAGCAACAGCAATATTATGAGTTGGGGAAAAAAGGATGTAATTTCAGATCACACCAAGGTACAACAACTTAGAGTGAATCATTTCCTATATACGTAGTAAAATCTATTGTGTTGACAGGTGGGAAAATTGAAGGTAATTCAAAGAATAACTGTTGTAATCTATTTAGTATGTGGTAGAGCTGAATAGCACTTCAAATCCAAAGTCATAAAGATGCTTATGACTGGACTTGGTGGACCTTTTTAATTCAAACATCTTGCCCTAGGACAGATGCTAAAGAAGATGCAGCATTGACCTTTATGATTTAATCTGCTTACAAATGTGATAGATGGAAAAAATGATTGATTTATGGCCCCAATCTTCCTGGCCCTGTAGATATATTTGGAATATTGAGACCATCTACCAGAAGCTAAACTGATTTTCATCTCATTTGTGCTAATAACCTCTTATGAGTTCCTAATATATTCTCTGCCACTTATACATGGAGATCATTGCAGCTTCCCACTTAAAAAAATAAAAATTTAAAACAAAAAGTAAAATCAGATGGGGTAGGGACCCTGATAGGTCAAAAAGGAATTGCAAGATATGCTGACACCCATGTCCACGGACATATTATTGGGATCCCAGGACTTAAAAGATTTTTCAAATGTGCACAGTTCACCTGCCCGTAAAGCCACACATACCTTTTATCATCTGCGGCAAGTATGAAAAGGAGGAATAGGGGAAGGGAATAAAGAAAAAAGAAAAGAGAGAGAAAGAGAGAGACAGCATGGGAAATCAAGACTCTTATAGCAAGAAGCAAATATTTACATTCTCTCTAATAATGTGGAAAATACCACTTTGAAACAAGTCTTGCATAAGATAGTGATGTTTACCTGTTGATATATTTGGGCTAGAGGGGGAAAAGGGTTGGATTGTTAAAGGGAGCTCTGGAAATAGTATGTCGCTTTCCTAAGACTTTCATTCTACAAGAAATCTGTCCCATCAGTAACTTCTCTTGCTTAGATAACATTATTTTCTTGATCTTCTAATTAATTCCCTGTTACTGAGCTCGTTCAGTTCCTTGGAAAAGAAAAATATTACCTTTTTCATCTCAGAGTGCCAAGAATAATTACTGGGATAATGAACACAGAGAAGTTATTAGCATTCTACTTGTTTCAAATGTGAAAATGGTTTATGTAAAAGGTGGTGTAAGTGAAGATTGTTAACTATGGCACACAAATTCTTGGGCCTATTGGATGGTGGGTTGAGCCAATTTAGTAAGAGGCCAATATAAATACATTTCATGATTTCTCTGCTTCTAGGAGAACAGACAGTTTTAAAATCAGAAAATGTGAGAGAGGATTTTACCTTGCAATATACTGCCTCTATATACAGTATATCCCATAGAACCTTATCAAGTATTTGGCTTCCTCTTTACAAATCATCACTTAAAATTAAAGAGTCAACCATGGAAATTAGATTTCTTTCCAGTTTTTCTACTCAGGTACAATGGTAAGAAAAAAAAGCTTTAATGAAGATGACTGAAGAATTCAGAGGAAAGCAGGTGAAGAAAGCACAAAATCTTGTCCTTGAGAAAATCTCAGGCCAGGTTGGCTCGGAATTTTGTTATTCTAATATACCTGGAAGGTGCCAGGTTGGAGACAAAGACATTTATCATTAGTGTATTGTCCAATTGCAATGTCTTCTGGCTGGTTAAAACTAAAATGCACCGTTAACAATGGATATTGATCTGTAAATTAATAATAACACAAAATATTGATCCGGAATAACTTATCCTTTAACACAGTGTAGATTTATAATTATTGGGTAACGGGGTTTGTAGTTTAAATTAGTCAGGAGTTTTATAACCTTATTGACAGCAGGACAAACAAGCTTAACAGCAATTCTGGTGAAATGTGTGATTCTTAAAGTTTAAAATTTCCTATGCAGATTAAGTTTTGTGTCTTCCTTCAATTATAGGGAAAATTTGAAATGTTTTTCTCTGCCCTGTTGAGCTTATATTTAACTAGATTTACCTGAACAGGGTAAAATATAGCCTGTAGTGTAGGAAGAGTTTCTGTGAAGAAGTGATCCCAGGTTTCAGATAATACATGGATACGATCTTCTCCTAAAAAAATACAACAAACATTAGGGAACTTTCAAGAAACATGTTATTAGGTACGCAACTCTCATTTCCAAGTACAAATAAAATCCACTCATTGCTTGGCTTTGTGAGATTATTGGAGGTTGCTAGGTGTCTTCTAGATAAGCAGCAGATAAGTGGTAGCATCTAGCCAACCAATAGATTTCCGAGTAGAATTCAAAATGCTGGTTTTAACCTATAGGGCTCTTTATGATGTAGAGTCTGGATGTCTGCAAAACTAGTTAAAGTAGAATTGACCCATCTGATCTGTTTGCTGCAAATGAGGGATGCTGAAAGTACCTTTCCCCATGAAAGATCAGAAGCGCGAGAGAAACAGCATCATGGTTTTGGCGATACATTCCTATATTATAGAAGTGACCTATGGAGTTCTGAACGAGACCATGCCTGACAGTTTTCAAGATACAACAATTAATTATTTAGAAATGTTGTAAATTGTTTATTTCCAGATATCTTTTGGGATAGAGTAGGTTTTATAGTTATCTTTCTAAGGTAGTGGTTCACAACCTATGGTCTGTAGAGGGGAGGGGCCTATAAAGAAAATGAAATGAAAGAAATGTTATGATTTAAATCTTGAGTTAAGTCTTAATCGTTCATGGCCACAAAAGGTATTTAAAGGGGCTCTGTGGTGAAGAAAAGGTTGAGAACCATTGTTCTAGGGTTTTTATGCACTTGGGTACCTTGACAAAAATTGCATGAAACCGATAGTATAAAAATGCTGCAGATACATAAATTATTACACATGGCAGTTATGCCAACTTTCTATTTGTCTTCCTTCCAAGATAAAACAATGTGCTGACTTTTTCTGAGGGATAATCAGTATTCCATACTGCCTCAGGCTAACGTCATATGAAAACTATAAAAAATGATTTATTTAAAAAGGAAAAAAAATATGCTTAGCAAAAAGCCCCTGTTGTTTAGAGTTCATTAACCTTTAACTAAAAATGTGGGCATTCAGAGAGAGAGGGGGGGGTGAGTGTGTAACAGTAATAATTTAGCAGGCTTCAACTTTCAGAGCATTTTTTTTAATTGTTCATTTCATGAAAAAAGAATCTATAAGGTATCCCCAATCCTTTCTATTTAAAGAACATTTCAGTATCCACAAAATGTCAAAAGGGTTCAGTACAAGGAATTTTAATATTCTATTCCCAGTTGTACAAATACTGTATATCAATTAATGAGGCACATACTTGTGTGAAGGATATAACAAGGAAAGTGGTCAGAGAAAACCAAAAGTCCCATTTCATAGGAGGAACTGGTGAGACTGGAAATACTTTGTCCAACATCACAACCTATGAATCAAGCCTATCTATATATATATATAAGCCAAATACCACTCACTCATCACGAAATCTCCAGAACAGTAAAGCCTACAAACTTGAAATTTGGCACGTATGTTCCTCTTGGCTTCTAAGTCCTCGCTAAGAAAGGATTTTTCGAAACGACCATCAGATCATTAGTATTTCATATACAGTATTATATTTACACACTCTGATGCTAAGGAGTTAGATATTCTACTCCGCCTCCCACCTGAAAGGGGGGGGACTGCCAGTTGCCTTATATTAACACGCTCTGATGCTAAGGAGCTAGACATTCTACTCCCCCTCCCCTCCTAAAAAGAACTCTGTTCCAACTGCCAGTTGCTTTATATTAACATGCCCTGATACTACCCCTTCGTTAAACCGGGTGTGGGCATGGCCAGCACGTGACTCATCCGGCCTGCGGGCTGGGACATTCTACTCCCCCTCTCCCTCTGTTCCAACTGCCAGTTGCCTTATATTAACACACTTTGATGCTACGGAGTTACACATTCTACATTTTATCACGCCCAATCACATAGTTTCATAGCGAAGCACGGGTGTCTAGCTAGCTATTATATAATCGTATTACAATAAGGTCACCTGCAGGCTAAAGATGAAGTGGGGTTTATGAAGACAAGACCTATTCCCATAGTCCTCACCTACATCCTGAACTTGAGAGGGGTTTTCAAGGGGTTTTCTACTAGCTGTTTCTTGAACACAACCATAAATCTCAAAATGGTTAGGAATCCTATGTTATCATGGTTCTCTGCATACAGTGGCTTTTATTTATGTGTGACTGAATATGAATTGAACCTTTATTCAATTCCATTGCAGAAAGATCAAGGACAGAGATGCTGACTGTACAGTAGTCCTAACATGAACTGCTGAATATATGCTCAGGTTTTAACAAAGCAGTAGTTTAATGCTAAATTAAGAATGCAGATTAGAAAAAATAAGTCAAATAGAATGCATCCCTTACATTTTTACTAATATAATTCTACATAGCATCAAAAACCACTATCCATAAAGTTATTGCTTCTCAAAACCTTTTCTTTACCAGGAAAGATAATATCTGTTAGCGAGTATGCATTAATATTTCAAAACCCATTAAACAGGATTTCCTCTAACCCTTTTCAGCAACTCTTAACTGAAGTGAGGAGTAAATCTGTGGTCAGCGTTTGGCATGCATACTATGGAACACTATAATTCCATCCAAATAAATGCAGTTATAGTTTCTCTTTAAACCTTGTTACCATCTATCCCCATGCATAGGGTTAAGAATATGTCTCTGTCTGCTCACTTGACCTGATCTGGTTATAAGGTAAAACTTCCATTAAAAAAGGTCAGATCCTCTTCCAATGAAGTCAGATCATAGCATGTTAATTGTGCCTTTATATTCATTTCTGAAATCATAATACAGTACTACCTGGGTCGCAACAATTCATTCAACTATTTAAAGTTACAACCAGTCCTCAGAGTTCTGGTTGTTGCAGTGAGCTGTGGTAAAAGGATTGCAATTTCCAACATACCCTGATAGCTTTCTACAAGCAAAGTCAATGAGGGAAGCAGGAAATCAGAAGGAGCTCCTGCTGTTTTTTTGCCCACTCACACTCTATACTACCTTCCGACAGCACCTCCCCCCACAGCACATATCTGCCCTCCACAGGGCCTGCCCATGGCACTCACCCACACTCCGGAGCATCTGTCTAAGGTATCCCCCACTCCTCTGTAGCATCTGCACACCTGCCTATGATCCAGTGCCACTGCTCACAGAACCCCACCACCACTTCATCCACCAGCTTGGACTCTTCCTACTTATAGACTCATGTGGTCCTGGCCTTATGTGGTCAATAGCAATTGGAACTGAGGGATTGCCATTGCTACATGATTCATTCATGTGATATCATGTTTTGCAACTGCCACCACTTACAATGGAAATTTCACCCCAATTGTCATTGTAACCCAAGGCCTTTACATACACTGCATGCTGAAGTGCTTTTTACCAGTTGCATTGTGGTAAAAAAAGAATAACTATTTTTAAGCAAGATGCACCATCACTACAGATATAACCCCTTTGGTCTAAATAATTTACAAATATTTTTCAGGCACCATGCCAACAAAACTAACCATTACATTTTTTTCTGGTAATTGTGGAACTGAAGAATCACTCATTTTCTCCCAAACTAACTTTCAGCAGACATAAAGGGCACCAACTGAATTTTCCACATAAAGTTGAGTGATTCAGAAATTTATCATTGAAGAATTGCCAAACTCAGATTTTATTTCCAATCTAGAAGCACACATTTCTGGCTGCTGTATTGTCATGGCCTAAGATCCAGATGAGCACACACTCCAAATTACTGTGTGAGATCACATTGCAACATTATAGGCAGATGTTATTCATTGCTATTAGACTTGTTTCCAAATAAGGACTCAGAATTGCAGTCTTAGCAGCCTATGTCCCACTGAAATGTAATAAAATTTTATTTAAAAAAAATAAACTAAGTTGTAAAAGTCTCCCTCAAGGGAACTCTAATTATCTGACTTCAATTAGAAATCAGTTTGAGAGTTGAAATTTAATAACATAGTTGACAGGTTCTAGAGCTGTCACATCACATCTGCTTTTTAATGTCTAGCTAAGAGGTATTTTTGAATACCTCTTAAATACCTCTGGTATTTAAGAAAAGTTATAAAAATATTACATGCAACTTTTACAACCATCTGCAAAACTCTTTTCTTTCTTTTCTTTTGAATCCAAGTAACAGAAAAACAATAAACCAGAAAGCTTATACTAGTGAAGAAACAGGTACAACAATTGAAGTTTATCTGGTCAGAAGTCTGAATGGTTTTGTGGTTAAGAAACTAGGATAGATTTATTTCTCCATAGGTTCCCGCTTCCTTTTAAACTATTAGAGACCATATAACTTCCTGGCAGACTGGCAAGTGAAAACTATTATGGCCTAGGTTACCTATTGACTTAGGTAACATTCTCCCATGTACTGTATGTCATTCTAAGATAAGGCTACAGTACATTTCATAAAAACCAGGAGTATGCCCCAATATTTTTGGGATTAACTTTCAAATGACTATCAAAAAAACAAAGTTGGAAAGAACTTTGGCGATCTTCTAGTCCAGGAGTTCCCAACCCCTGAGCCATGGCCCACGACTGGGCCGTGACCTATTTACAGATGGGCTGTGCAAGCAACAGGCTGGTACACGTGTAGCTCGTCTTGCACAAGTGGCAGGCTGGCATGTGGGCACGTACATACACATGCAGCTCAACATGCGCAAGTTGAGCTGCATGCACATGCACACCAGCCTGCCACTCACACAAGTTGAGCTGCGCACAGGCGCCGGTCCACCACTGGTGCAGCCCAGTTCCTTCTCCCTTCATCTTGCAGGGCCACCAAGCTGCAAAGGTTGGGGGCCACTGTTCTAGTCCAACTCCTTGATGCTACAAACTTTTCACTATAATCAAAAAGTTGAGAGTGACTGGCCACCACAATGTATCCACAATGTTTTAGTTGTACCCATCAAGACCAATTGGAAAAACCATGTGGAACATAATAAAATATTCCTGATGAAGATTGACAATTATAGGCATAACATAACTGATCCCAGTCTATAATGTTCAAGCATAAGCCATGCTTTTCCTGAAGAAATATGAACAATGTTTAATAGTCTTTTGTAACAATGTTGATTTGATGAAGTTGGTTATAGCCATTTGCTAGACATCTTTCACCACCAATTGGTCATCAATCGTACATGTATACAGATAAATGCTCCCATGTGATAATTTACATGATGCACATATTACACAGCAAGCTATTCTCTTTTTTTCACAAATGGTATTGAAAAACAGATATTTAAAGCATGCTTTTCAATTAGAAAGGTATTTTCCTCTCTATTCTAAATCACTTCTATTCAATGCTACTATTATGACTTCATTGTGTTGCTTATACACATTAGGACCTGGGGATATTTAGCCATGTGACTCTCATATGTTGGTTTTTCCACGAATTCATTTTAGCAACTTCAGAAGATGATTCACAAAGCTTTCTGGGAATCCAGAGCCCTTCCCAAAATTGTCAATTTCTATACTTGCCTTCACAAAACTTAACTTTTTCTTCTATGTATAGCAAACCTTTTGAAAGAAGCTGGTTCTGCCAAAAAGAAAAAAAAAAAGGTTGGATTTTCAATATTCAATGATACAAATCATGTTTCAATTTTTACAAGTGTTATTTCAAATAGATTTACCCAATCTACTGAATCAGCAACATATCTTAGTTTTAGATCAAGTAAGTATGTCAAAACACACATTGCCAATTAAAGTTTTACATGATCTAGCTGTAATATCTCAATTCCTAATCAAACTCATTTCTTTTCTGCCAAAGATTTTCAGGTTGGATTTTATTGCTATTATTGTGCCTTAATCATTGTATTGCATTTTAATATTATATTTATATTTTACTTTCAGCTCTGGAAAGTCTCAAAGAGCATATATTTCTGGATTGCCAAATAAATGTGGAAAATACATGTAAAGAAAGGCATTCCTGCATATGATCAGCTAAAAACAGTCTCCGTTCTCCAGATGTTCAATCACGTGGCATATCTCAGTTGCAAATATCTTGATGGTCCAATGCCGTAAAATATTCACTGGTGGAAGAAAACAACTGAACTAAATTCTTATGGAATTAGTGCAGAGACTGTTCTATCTGGATCTGCACTATATAGAATTTAAAAGGACAACACAATATTACAAATACTTAAACCGGTTTTCCAGTGTGCTAAAAATTAGAACAGAACCAAGACTTGTAACAATACACTGCATGAAGGAATGTCCAAATTTGCTATTAGCCATTTTATTTTATTTTAATATTTATTTATTTTATTTTATTCCATTTTATTCTTCTACCATTTTTCAGGTAATGGCTCCAATCCAATTGTATATCTAGTCATTGAATCTGCCTGTACTTTGGAATCTCCCCTTAAAGTAGGGAGTTTCCTAAAGATGTTTTGTACAATTAAAAACTTGGGGGCTGTCCCCAGACACAACTCCTTCTTGTATCAATTGTGTTATATAAGAACTGATACTCATTTCTGAACTTCAAAAAATAGAAGGAATGAGTCAATGTTGACTCTCTATTTTACATCATCAGTGCAAGCCACACTTTGCAAAACTTTACTTTCTTTTTTTTTTTAAAAAAGAGGAACACCTCAGATCTTTTGTTTTTTTTAAAAAGGGAAACAAATGAAAAAGTTGTTTAAATAACAATCTTGTTTTCTTAATATTTAATGCAGCAGTTATAATAATCGGTTTAATGGGATGTATGGCCTTGCATGCAATATCATTTTATTTACAATAAGATTTCTGATCATTAAATGTATTTCAATATTTAGTCGTCATTGAAGAATATGCTGAAAATCCACTTTCACAAAGTTGTGCTGAAGGAAAAAGAAGCCGTACTGTCAGTTTTTTCTCACTTCAAAGACTATGTTCCCTGTGAACTTTCACTTCCAATTTTACGTGGGAGAAGACCCGAATAACCAAAGACCTATATATATATAAAATCTATCTATCTATCTATCTCAAAACCGGGTTTTGCCAACAGACTTGAAGATCCCAGAGTGGGATGGAGCCCATCAAGTGGCTTGTTTGATTGACTATTTTTTTTTATTGTTTGTAAATTGGTTTTTATTTCTGTGAGCTGTCCAGAGTCACTGAGAGTGAGTGGGCGGCCGTGCAAATTTTCTTAAATAAATAATAAAAAATATAACAATAATATGTAACAATAATAAAAATAATAAAACAAGCAAGGAGAAAGAAACCCCCCCAAAAAAATACATTGATATGACTAGTAAAAAAAAAAAATAGATGCATGGGGAGCAGAGAGGTGAAGGGAAGTGGAGTCTGCTGTCAATCTAGCAGCCACCTCTAGAATTCTCTATTAGATCCCCAGGACAATTCGCAGAGGCACGTCTTTAGGCTCTTACAGAAAGATAGGAGGTTCGAGACAGATCTTACCCTGGAGGGCAAAAAGGGCAGATGCTACGGCAGAGAAGGCTTTTCTTCTGGATCCTGACAGTCAGGGTTCTTTGACTGACGGGATCTACAGTATGTTCTCACTGCTGACTTGAGTAGGATGGGCTGATCTTAGCAGGATTACGGTTCATCAGGTAGCCTGGACCTATGCCTTTAAAGGCTTTAAAGGTCACAACCAGCAACTTGAACTGCACTCAAAAGCAGACCGGTAGCCATTGTAATTTGCCAGTGTACTGCAAAATTTATAATCATGGAATTGGGGAACTGCTTAGGCCATCAAGTCCAATCCTCTGCTCAGTGCAAAAAAATCCACATTAAACCATCCCTGACAGAGACTTACTTAGCTTCTGCTTACCCTTAAATCAGAAATGTTTAATAAGAAAGATGCCTCTCTAGGTAATTGATTCTAATTTCAAATTACTGTTACTGTTAAGATGTTTTTTTCCCTGACATTCAACTGGAATCTGTCTTCCTGCCCACTGGGATAATATATAATAGTAGTCTTTTGTATAATCATGTCCAAGGTGCCCTCTGGACTCTCAGAATTCCCAGACAAAGTGGTCATAAGAATTCAAGGAATTAAAATCCTGCACACATCTGGATACACCAGTTTGAAAAAACCTGGAGGTTATGCATGCAGACAGAATTTTATGTAATAAAACATGCCCATGATTATGAGCAATCCTTCCACTGTGAAAAAGAGGCAGATGAATCATATGAGTATTTTTTATATGTAACTATTTCTCTAACATTTATGGGAAATGTTTGTGGTTTCAAGAGATTCATAGATGTACTCCACTGCCTACAGTTTACCTACACTGTATGCACATGGAATAATTCACAACTATCCAGAATAGTTGTGAATTCCTTGTCTGATGGAAAATAATTGGCTGACGGGGGATCTTTGTGCAAGCAAGCACACAGAGGAACAGTGAACAAAACAGAAAATTGGTCAGCAGTATTATGTTCAATTACCCAAGCAACTATTTTCCTGCAAATTCAGAACAAGCCAAAAGAAAAGGAATGCAGGCAAAAAAAAATGCACAAATGGTCTAAATATATAGCAATCACGGGGAAGAAGCTATTCTCATTTTGAGAAATGTATCAATGCCCTTGCAGTGCTTCCTGCCCAAGAAGCTTTATTTTGAAAGACTATGCCAACCTAATTAAAATTACTCCATAAAGACTATGTTTAAAATAATCCATGGTTTGTTTTTATATGGTGCATAGAAGTCTGAGTCCCTTTTTAACAGAAGGCCTTTCTCTGTGTTACCTAGAAGCCTAGTGATTATTTCAAATTCAATAAACATATCTTTGGGCAAAAGTAATAAATCGTCTTCTCAAATTTCTCAAAATGCTAGAATAAACAATTACTTATATTATTCTCACAAACCATGCCATGTATTATATTCTCCCTCCTCTCCCCACTGTAATAATTTATGAACTTGGGTAAAGATACTAGAAAACTAAGTATCTTCAGTTAAAAATCCAGATTGAAAAAGAATCATAACACAAAGAAAAGTTTGAGGAGCTACAAAGGAATATAAGCTCTTATCTATCAGAATTCAAACATAAAACAATAGTAAGTGGTTAGATGTACACATCATGGTAAGTCATAATTTTGTTTCCTTGTTTCGGCTAAATCTGACTTGTGAACCCAACAACTGTGTTTTGGGCTTAGATATGGAATGGTTAACTGACTTACTGAATAAACCTTAAGTTCTGAAGCTGTATTAACCATATATTTGTTATGTAGTCTGTGTGAAATGTAAACCACTTGATTAATTAACCTTTAGTTTAATAGAATACATGAGGCTTGTCACTTAAAACTTTCTTTCGCATGTAAGGACTAAGCAACCAGATTATTTCGTTAAATAACAAGATATCAAGAATCTCTTTACACACTATTCCAGCATATGAGGAACAGTAACTGGTAACTTATAACACTTTACATTTCTTCTGGATATCATGTTCCAGATGTCAGTGGCTTAGCTGAAAAGTTCATTGCCTATCAGATATATGTGCAACTTTGTACAATAATATATATATATATATCTGCTGCTATCATTTATCCAAAAAATAGCTAGAACAATTAGTGGGCAAACTCAACTTTTGTCACCTGAGGAGCCACTTTGTAAATGAGTTGGAAGAACTAAAGGAACTTTTAAATCTGCATATACAGATGTAAAACTGGATGACTGCATTAAATATAGGTTAAGTAGTATTAATTATGCAAATTTCCATAACCAAGACTTGAGTATTTTTTTAAATGGGACATTCTACCCAGTGGTGAAATCTAAAATTTGTTACTACCAGTTCTGTGGGCATGGCTTGGGGGGGGGGGGGGGGGGAAGGGGGGGGGGGGGGCCGGGGCGTTTTTTTTTTTTTTTACTTTTAAAACCAATTTTTCAGCGAAGAGGTTGTAAAAAAATGCTTTCAAAAGGCTCTGAAATCCCAGCTGAGTTGCCTGATCGGGAGAGGCTTTTTTTATTTTAAATGCCTCTGACGATCCAAGCTGAGTTGCCTAATCAGCAGAGGCTTTTTTTTTCTTTTAAAAGCCTTTGACAATCCCAGCTGAGCCACACGATCATCAAAAGCCTTTTTTTTTTTTTAAAGGATTTTAAAATCCTTTAAAAAAATTTTGGGCTGAAGAGGTTGTAGAAAAAATGCTTTTAAAAGTAAAAAAAAAAAAGCCTCTGATGATTGTGCGGCTCAGCTGGGCATGGGGGTGGGGGGGCAGGGATGTTTGCTACTGGTTCTCCGAACCACCTGCCTCCATTGCTACCGGATCGGGCAATCTGGTCCGAACCAGGAGCGTTTCACCCCTGATTCTACCCAATTAAACTAGGAAAGAATAGAGAAACAAAGTGTGCTTCCTTCACATGGAGAAGTATCTGTTGGAATAGTTTATTCAAGATTACATTGCAAGCAGTGCAATACATCCCACCAGACAATTCCATTTGTATTTTTTGAGTCAGACTGCTATGAAATATGAAGTTTTGTCTTTTACATTTATGAAAACGAATATCCCATATGTACATCTTTGTATATATCTCACATATCCTCTGGAAGGAGTATTACTGGAAGTTCTCTTTGAAATACAAAATTCCCATATATGCAATTAAAGTCAAAAGGATACGTTTGTGTTTAAGGCACAGAGCACCCTAGTCAATGTGATTATAGAATTGAAAACATTCACTATTGAGAAAAAGCATTTGTAGATTGGTAAATTCTGTTTTCATGAAATGCCGCAGTGATTTGGTTATGAGTACTTTGGTAAATAGTACCGTAACTAGTCCTCAAGAATTACAGAAATAATAAAACAGTTACTCTACTTTTCACACTGTGTAAGTCTTCCACAGTCCTCTTGCATAGAATTAGAATCATTCCTTTAAAATGCACACATGTTTATAGTGCGCTAATAGCTTACTTTCAGTTTAAAAGGAAATTAAAATTACTACAGATCAAGTGATCTGGTATCTCACAATCTGGCCTGTTTGTAACTCAATTTGAAATATTTTTATTATTAAAAAAAAAAAAAACCTCTATCTAAAGTAGTAGAAAAAGAAAATGCCTCTCTCGCTCAGATTAAGTTCTTATTTCTAGGATGAGATTCCAGTTCCCCAATTTGTTATTAGGCAACTCTCCTTTACAGCTAAGATTAGGACAGGTATAAATAGAAAGCGGATCTTTAAGAGTGTTTAATAAAAATGAGGTTTCCGTCCATCTAACTCATGATAGAAGAAAACATTTGTGATAACTATTTTTGTATTTTTTTTACAAAGTTATCAACTCCCCAAATAAGCAGTTCAGTTCAAACATAATAGCAAACAATATTTAGTCATTATGAGCCAAAATCAAACCATGAACCAGGAATTTTAAGTAAACTATGATGGCTGCAACTCCAAACTTACATTCTTCTCCTCTTACCTGCAAAAGCTTCAAACTTGTGTCCATTCATGCTTATAAGCACATTCCATGGTTTACTATTACATTATTTCACATTGCCTAACATTTCACAATTTCAGTCAATTTTACTGCTATCTGAGGTGAAGTACCATCTTTTAATTAGACCTATAATATTTGTGTAAGATCTGGGTTGTGTACTCTTTGTTCCCAGAGAGTATAGGAGAAAGTATTAGGGTTGAAGTATTGAATGGACTGAATCTTAAACTTAGTTCTATTGGCCCAATTCCATTATTTTTATGGTGAAAAAAAGAATGAATAATATTTCTAAACACTGGCCATTTTCACATAGAATGAACCAGAATTCTGAAGAATCCTCACTGTAATTGAGCTGCTGATATATCTGGCTCATCAGTTATGTTTCATTCCTCACGATTAATACAAGAGGCCAAACAAATCCCATCCTTTCAGCACATTGCCTGCATCAGAAATGTTGGCTTTATCTCACTGCTTACAAGCCAGAATTATAAACCATGGTTCCTTTCTTTTAGAAATTATGGTTTGCATGGAGACCAACAGCCAAACATCTCTAGTCCAACTGATGTGCCAATAAATCATTCCAGATTTATTTAACAATTCAAGCTAGCAGGAGTAGTAAATAAACTGAAATTCACCAGCATGCCATTTATCATAAGCCATGATTTTCAGTAATGCTGATTTATTGTTCAGTGTTTATTCTATTATTGTTTTAGATGACTTATTTTTTTTAAAAAAAAATCTGCTAATCTAGCAGAACATAAATTACAGGAACAAGTCATTGAGGGAAATAACATTTTGGTGTTTTTTTTATCCCTTAAATGTCATTACATGCACTAGAATCAAGTGCTAACAAGTGTTTCTAACCTACAATCTTGCCGGATAAAGTTGGCTCTCACTAATCAATCTACTAAAACATTCACTTATTAATTTGTTATCATGACATTCACCTGACCTGAATAGGGCTGGGTCCCCAATATAGAGGTGGACTAAAGAAACATCCTATTCATAATTTGGTTTCAAAGGTTTCGTTTCACTAATGAGGCTGCTTTCACAGTAACAATAGCTATGAATTTGTGCACACATTTTTTTTTGCACTCTTGTACATAACAGGACCCAAACTTTTTATGTGGTTAAATTTAAGATCTTTGAGGGCTGTTTATCGGTTAAAAAGTACGTAACAATTTCACTTTGACTCATGCATTTCCTCACCTCCAGTGTTTGAATTATTGTTGCTCGGCAGACTATTTAGATTTCAAAAAGCAATGCTACATTCCCTGAAAGGCTTATTAAATGAGATTTCTGTTCATGTGTTTCAAAGCCACAACCACACCATCTCTTAGTGCATGCTGGAACTATGTGGGTTGACAGCTTATCTAACATGCATTCCACATTTAAGTGCTAAGAATGGGTATTTGCACTGTACATCTTATGTCATTGCTTAGGAAGCTTTTTCCAAAAAGGTGGGGAAGGGCTAAGTATCATAGCATGAATTCCTAGAGAGGAAAACTCATCGAAGGAAGCTGTTCTCAAGGATGGTGTCTTCTCGGTGACCACTGAGGCCATGTTAAATCAATATGGAAAAATGCATTAACCCTATCGTACAAGAAGCCACATAAAGTATTTCTGATTAGGAAATATTAAAGTGTCAGCTGAATATTTATTGAAAGGTGGAATATCTTCAAAGACTGTGATTGTGGAAACTTCTACATGATGCCTTATTATCAAATCTCTTTATTCTGATTTTATAATGTTCAAGAGTACTCCAGAGTCTTCTAGGGCAGAGATCCTCAACCTCAGGTCTATACACCGGCACTGGTCCGCAGTATACCAGAAACTGGGCCACGCAATAAAGCAAAGACCCATATGCAGGATGCAGGCAGCACACGAAACCATGCCCTCTCTGGTCTGCGGGAAAGACTCTCTCCACGGAACCGGTCCCTGGTACCCAAAAGGTTGGGGGGCACTGCTCTAGGGGAACCTAATAATCTTGGATTAACAGACATTATCTAAAAAAATCTTAGGTATATTATTTATCCCAAATGTTCATAAGGCATTGAACTACATTTCCACTTATAAGTTTTGCAATGAGAATGATGAAGAGAATGTGGAAAAGAGAAACATGAGTTGTGAGCATTGTAATTTAAGCAACACATACCCCCATTTACTGGGGGCAAAGAGGGGGTTTTGAGGCCAGAAGCTGAGAAAATTCACTAGTTGTGAATTTTTCTGAAACCCACTTTCCAATTGTTCAAGAGTTTTTAAAGAAAAAGAATCATCTTCATAGCATTAGCTACTTAAACGGAGCATTTTTATGTAATACAATCCTACCATTTTAAGAAAAGAAATACTAACTTTTATCAATTTGTAGTTCTGCGAATAAGGTTGTCCAGCTTTCATGCTATGCTATCATGCTATGTTGTCTGAAACACTTTCTAGTTTTCTATTCAAAGTCCAAGAAATTGTAGCTACTTAAAAAGGAGAAGAAAAAGGAAAGCCAGCATAAAGACTTAACCAAAAGATAGTCCAATTTCATTGTTTCATCTATCCACTTAAGGACTAAATGTTACCTGAAAATAGTCTGTGATGAAGGATCCAAGCTCACTCTTCAACAACTGCCTGGAAAGAAATGGATCACTTATCATGAAAACACTTCCAGAAAATAATAATTTAAAAAGTAGATATTTACTGAACTCTATAATTCATAGGTGACTAATAAGATATTTTTGACTTTTATGTATTGTTTAATTTTATTTCTTTCATTCTTTCCCATGACACATCTGGTAGTTGACAAAGAATCCTAAATTGGTGGAACATCAAACTGGTAACTAGTATAACATTACATTTAACCAAAGCAAGCTTCCTTTGCTTTTAATCTGATTTAATCCACACCTGCATGAATCATTTAGAATCACATTCTGACAATGTGTTCCTTGTAGCACGTTAACTATCTGGATTAGAAATACTTATTTGTATGAGACAAACTTTATAGCAAGAATTTGATCAAAAGACCTTAGTCTTCATACTTAACTCCTGTTAAGGAAGAACAAGTTCAATTTTTAAAGAAGGTAAGATCTGATTTGGCCATCTCCTACATTCCTAGATATTATTTTTGAGTGGGCTGGAAAGCAAAGCAAAACCAAGATGTCTACCCTTTCCAGTCAGGTTAACTCGTAATGCTTTGATGTCCCATCCCATATGCATTTAATGCCTAATAATCATGAAGAAACTATTTCAAACCTTACAAAAATCTGTATGACAAAGTCCACCATGCTAGAAGAGAAACAATTTCAGCAACATTCCAGTACAGAAAATCCCTGTCGTTTTCTGATCAATGACAAACATTATACAATTCCAATTTCAACAGTTTATCCTCAAGTAAATCACTATAATATTACTTTTTAAATCTGAATCTTTTCAAGCAGAATTGAGGTATAGCTGATTTTGAATTTTAAATACCTGAAAATAAAGGAGAGGATGAACCCATGGACCCCAACTAAACCCCATCTATGTCTTCAAAACAATAATTTAAAAATCATTTTGCAGTAGTATGTTACTACTATTACACAACCTCCCTGTTACAGTTTGTCATGAAGCTGAGAGTCTGAGACATCACTTTTCTCCTTGCTGCACCCAATAATTTATAGTACCAACATTAATTCAATACATGAGATCTGTAAGAATTCTGAATTCCTGTCCTCAATTTCCACCCCATAGTGCTTCTCAAATTATGGGCAGCCATTCTTCACCAATGTTATTTCCTTCCTCCTTTTTAAATTATCCCATTCACTGGACTAACAAATTTGCTTTCTGAGCTCATGTAAACTAAAACCACCAATTCCTTCCCTAACCCTGTATGATCAAAACCTTCCAGGCATTCGCCCAATATATTTGCTATTCATTTTCTCACTCCAGCAATTAACCAATCCACTGAACAAACCTAATCAGGCATCCTTGCAAAGTAAGCTTTATTAAATGAAGGATTTTGGGATCTGGAGCCCAATTTAGTTAATGCATTGAGTGAACTTTAATCCACATAACAAAATTCATTTGTCTTCAAAATGAAACACACAAATTTGCTGTGATGTGCCAATACATTTATCCTTCTGGAAATTATAATAGAAGAGGTGTAATTGGTGGTTTTGTTGACAGCTGATTGATCCGATTGAAATTTCTGCCTCTTCTTGTTATACACAAGCAAGCTAGTTATATGCATTTGCTTATATACATGGAAAGCAGTTGCATAGCTGGAAAAACAAATGTTGCTTTTACAAAGACCAAAATGAATGTACTGCTGTTAACAACAACTTTCCTTTCCAAGCCTCTTATTTAAAGTATGCATTAAAGCAGTAAGATTTTTATCCATAAGCATGAAAGGGGGGGGATCTGACTTCAGAAAAAACTTACAAAGCCATTTGTCAGAGCATGAAGAACTGTATCTTACTGAGATGATACAAAAAGCAAAAAAAAAAAAAAGCCATCTTTATGAAGGCTTCATTTTTGTTCTCAAAGCAAGATCTTATGGCCAAAACTGCATGCTTTAAACTGATGTTTTTAAATCAGTCATAAAAATCTGTGCTACTGGAGAAAATGCCAGAGCTATTCTTAATTAACTCATATCAGTCAGAAGCATGGAGAATACTGATAACCTTTTGTTGAAACATTTTCACTTTCTTGGCATTGACAATGTTTAAACAAGTTCACAGAGTTGAAGGAAGAAAGGCCATGAAGTGAAAAAGAAAAAAAAAGAGATCATTCTATGTGTTTATCAAATTTGAAGCTATAATCAAACTAATGTTTGTTTCCATTTCCTAGAGAAAACTCTTACTCTATTGCCATGCCTTTGTTTTTGTTTTTTGGTGCCTTAAAGTCATTGTTGACTCTTGATGACTACTTGGATACTACTTGCGGTATTCTTGGCAAGGTTTTCTAAAGTGGTTTGCCATTACCTCCTTCTTAGGGCTGAGAGAGAATGAGTGGCTGAAGGTCACCCAGCTGGCTTTGTGCTAAGGCATGAAGAACTCATGGTCTCCTGCTTTCTAATCTGGCCCCCTAACCACTGCACCAAACAGGCTCCATCAAGAAATGAATCTTTTTTGTGCTCATACATCTAACCAGACCATTCAAATAAATTCATTGCATGATCAGTGCCTATTTTCATCATTATCCAAACTTCTGCGACTTGCAAAGATATTCCCAATGAACATTGAAATCTGCAATATTCTACACCTACCGCATAGTAATCTCTCTGTCACTGATGCTTTTTCACCTCTTTTCATATACACAAATTCAGTACCTAAATATGATTCCACTCAGATTTCGAAGAGCAGACCTATTGCATCCCACTTCCAAAAGCACCAATCATCAAAGCAGATGCATCAGTAACACCTCAAGAAAAAGCAGGGGCATAGAAACAGAAACCTATTTGAGGATGAAACCCCTGTTCAAGGCTAGTTCTTTTCTATGATGCCACTTCTTTAGAGCATCACCTTACAAAGCAGCGGCATTCACACAGCACCTCACCAACTCATACAGAACTTTTCTCACCCTCAATTAAATCTTTCCCCGGAAAGTGCAAATTTACTCATTTCTGACCCCACATATATTATTGCAGAATAACAGTGATGGGAAAAACCCCTCAAACTCTTTGCAAAAATTCAAGAGAAAACAATCTCAGCCCTGATTACATGCAAATAGCTCCATCACATAGCACCATTGCTCTGTCTGCTAAAAATATGAAACACATGTAGCTTCCACATAAACAACAACCCAGCCAGCCACCAATAAGCCATTCTTACAGGTGATAGTTTCCCCGTCCTGAAGTTCCTTTAATATTATGATGGCAGAAGGAAGCTGAAAAGATACCCTTTGTGATAGCCACTTCTTAACTATAATTGTGGCATGTAAAGTAGAAGGGTGCCCGGCCCGGGACCGAGGATAGCAAGCCCAACAGCCCCTCCAAGCTGGGTAAGGACTGCTCTTCCTGTGGAAAGCACATCCAGGGGCAGCTCCCACCACACCCAGACTGACCCTGGGGCTGCACAGGAAGCAGAAGTGGTGCCGGCAACTGTGCAGCTCTTCCCCAGCACGCCCCCCTCACCCTGTGGGGCGGTGATGCCAAGAGGCCCGAGATGTAAAAAGTTTGCTAGAAGAGGAGCCAGACCAAATTCTGATTTCAACCATCTATTATTGCCACTGCTACTACAAGAAATCACCTGGTAACAAGAGGAAGAAGGACCTAAATCCATTCTCCTGCTTCCCATATAAAATCATTGATATATGACCCTTTTTTTTCTGTTGTGAATTTCTGCTCTGGCATCATAAAAAGAGTCCATAGTTCAGTCTCCTTTCCTGTGCCAATAAAAGAAGCATATCAGGAATCCAAGGCACAAGCTACTGCACAAAACTCTCAGCGTTACTTTGCCCTGACCTGGGAAAGCTGTTGAATCCAGTTCAGTTAAATCCACATACCTGACATTTTCGTTGAGGATGTAGAGTTCATTGTTTTGCAGGCCTCCCCCTTTGAAGACATTGATCACTGCTGTTTGAACACTGCCAAACAGAAGGAGAAGGTTAGGGCAGTCATAAATAATGAATGTCATCGCCTGATTTACACAAAGCAATGAAACTGCAGTCAAGAACTGTGTAAATATATCGGAGAGTAGAGAAGGAGATTAATTGCCCTTAAATGACTTCTGCATTCCACCCCCCATGGAATCATTAGACTCCTTTGCTCACGGCTGTGGAGAGAAATATAATTATACAGCTATCAAGAGACTAATACAGGCAGGTGCTAGTCAAAATTAAGTGCACCGCTGTTTTCTTCTGCCCTTATGCAGCTCTTATTTAGAGCACTGCCATGACTATTGCATCATCTTCTTTGGAAACAAAAACCAACTCTGGAAATTTTAGCCGTAGTGTATTCTGACTTCTCCAGGCATACACAAAGGCCAGTGATTAAACAGAGTTTGCTTCACTACATACCACAAAAGAATACTTTCTTATAAAAGAAAGAAAGAAGAGTGTTGTGTATGTTTCACAAGATGCAAAAACTTATCTCTGCAGGACTGCATGGCCAAATCACCGTGGAACAGTCTCTGAATTAACCCAGGGTTTCCCCCCATAAAACATGAAAAAATGTTTACCAAGATAACAGAATTCAAGAAAATAAGGACATTTTTGCTAGTTCCTTCACTAATCCAGTTATCTATAATTATATTTGTACAAACTATCCACTTTCAAACCGATCACAGTTCTCAGCTAGCACCATATGGAGTTGAGAGGGAGATGAAAGCAGAATCAATCATTGCTGTCTGCAACAATTTGTAAATGCTCTCTGCACCATTAACTGCAGGCATTTAAATAGGGCTATGCGTCGTTACTGATCGTGTGATAATTCACAAAGAGGTAGTCCTCAACTTACGGTAGTTTAATAACTGCATTTACGATCGCTTGGCAAATGGTTATGCTATCCCCCTTCCCTGCAGTCACATGATTGCATTTCAGGCTTTTGGTAATTCATTTGCGTTTACAAACATATGTCAACTGTCTTATCCTCATGTGATTGCCATTTGCAATTTTTTCTGTTGGCTTCCCCAGAAAGTCAATGGGAAAGCCAGCAGGGAAGGATATGCAGGGTGTGTGTGTGGAGGATTTTAGGTTCATTCCCCCAGTGCACTAAGATATTTCCCCTTCCCTCCATACAGTGAGGGAAAATCCATGCATGCACTGGAGGAACAAATTTCATATCTGGCAAAAAATCCAGCAAATGCCATTGTTCTCACGATCATTTGGAAGGCCTCTTCTCCAAACTGGGGATTTTGGAGAAGGAGCCTTCTGAACCATCTCAAGAATGGGGCCCGCTTGCAGGATGGAGCAAGTGGCCTCAGTAATCAGCAGCTGCAGAATCCAAAAGTAAACGGACCTGGGCATGGTGGGGTAGCGAGAGGGCCTGGGTTTCCCAGCATTATACTTAACAACCTGCAAAGATGCTTAACAATCACAACTGGAAGAGCTAGGACTGCGGTTATTGAATGAAATGACATCTTGCTTAATGACAATTTCATTTAATGATTAAATTTCTGGGGCCAATTGTGGTCCTAAGTGGAAGAATACTTGTACAGCATAGAATCAGTTTGATACTATGAGAAATGCCCTTGAGGGAACTCACTTGTTTTTCTCTAAACCACTACACTGACAACCATTACATCTGAATCAACAAACTATGTTTGGAACTTTTTCTTCTTAACAGAATTGTAAACCATAACTTGACAGGTTAACCAAGCAATAAAAGTAGAATTAACTGTAGCCATCAAATCATCTTCAATAAATACTCCAAGACATTTTTTGCAACCACACTTTAAAATCATCTAGAGCTGTGATGGCGAACCTACAGCACACGTGCCAGAGGTGACATGCAGAGCCCTCTCTGTGGGCATGTGCTGTCGCCAGCTGCTCTTCTGGTTTCCGGCATCCGCATGCGTGTCAGCCACCTGGTCTTCATGCACGCCGGAACGCCAAAGACCAGCTGGCTGATGCGCACATGCACACCAGCCACTTGGTTCTTGGGTTTCCAGCGCACGCATGCGCACTGGCCAGCTGGTTTCAAGTTTACAGCGCTCTGGTGCACACATGCTCATGTGCACGTGTTCCAGTTTGGGCACTCGGTGCCGAAAAGATTCGCCATCACTAACCTAGAGTCTAGACACACCTACACAGAAATCTCTCTAGTGGGAAAAAATCCCTGCCAGGATATTGTCAAGTTCTCACAACATCTTATCTCACGTTTACTCAAGTTTATTCACTCACTCCCTTGAGCCATTTGGGAAAAGTTTAAACCAGATTTAATCCAAAATCTTTTCCTTTGCACACCAAAGTGGAAAAATGTTCCACTCCCAGAAGATACATACAATTGGTGAGATATCCACAGAATTGCAGAGATCCCTTTTGAATTCAAAAACACGGAGAAATACAGTAATGCAAGAAGAAGAGTATTATAAGGCATAAAAGGGCTCTGAAATATTTTGGGTACAAGAGAAAAAAATGTTTTATTGAGTGCACACATCATCCCTGTGGACAATTCCTTATACTAAATGCATCTTTTCCCAGGATATGCTGTGGCTACAATATGCAACCACATCATCCCTGAAAGACACAAAACTGCTTTAAGGAATTACCATGTGAAAGACCTTGCACACTCTAAAGCAACTTTTTACCCTCTAAATCCAAGTCTCAAGACATCAGATATACATTCATAGGATATTTCTCACCTGTTCCAGGCAGAGTTCGATCTGAACTGCAGAGATTGCCGAGCTGCCAAGAATCGTGGCAAATCACTCAGCACTGGGGAGCTCATGAAACGTGGCCGGGGCTTTCGGAATGAGCCCATCTTCTGAAATTGGAAATCAAAAGCTCAAGCTATGATGGAATCCACATCATCAGTTTAGACGGAAGGGGGTGAGGAAACTGATTTGCATGAGGATATTGAGGTTAACTGGCAGGGAAGATACTTCTGTTTCCTCGGGAATCAGAATTCAACCTGTCAAAAGTGGAAACAACAAAGAAAAATTGAGGTTTGAACATATTATATAAACCAAAGTATATGGCAGACTGGTCGTAATTCAAGCTGACTTGGTTTCTGTTGCACCAAAATAAACTTTCTCTTCCCATCACCACGCCCCACCACTATATTGAGATGGTTTAACTTATTATAATAATTTTTAAAAAATCTCTTTCCTTAAGAGACATTCTGGTTTTTTTAATGTTAATATGCCAGTATTTAAAATGCTTTGGAAAATACAGAATGAAGCCTGGCTTAGAAACCCATGTTTGTAATAAATGTCTAGAAATCAGGACGCATAAAAAAAGAAAAGAATAAGGAAGAGGGATGCTCTATCTACTCTATCTATCTATCTATCTATCTATCTATCTATCTATCTATCTACCAACCTACCTACCTACCTACCTACCTACCTACTTTATCTCTCTCCCTCTCTCTCTCTCTTTCTATCTAAAAAAACAAGCTATGCCATTTATTTTGTTCAGAAGGTTTTATTCATACTGAATGTAGCTACCTCTTAAAAAAAATTTGCATTGCAACCTGCCTAACCCAAGTACAGCAGGCACACTGTCCTATCTACGCACTGACAACACCACCAGGCCTGTTAGGAAGGATCCCACATTATTTAAAGGAGCACTGAGAAAAGCAGGCCTAGGCCTTTCGTTAAGGCCCCTCTGGATCTAATGGAGAATTGCTGAAAATTGTCAAAGGCTTGGAGTTTTTCCCTTACTGTAAAGCAATGTTGCAATCTATTCCTTGTGAAATCACTACATATCAACGAGTAAGGCTGAGGTTGGTAACACTATACCAAGCTTTTGGATCATTACCAGTGGAAATTTCCTTTACAGTTTAGACAATGCCACTCCCACTTGCTAGGACTGTCACCCTGCCAAAGGGGATTTGGGTCACCCAAACTGGTTTTGTTTTGGCTTTAAATGTAGTTCTGGGGTCAAAGCTAGACAATGGGAATTTTAGGTCTGTACATTTTTTTAATCATCAGTGGCAGGCAGAGACTTAGAAGGCAGCTTCAAAATTGTCTGTGCTGTCCTAAAAAACAGTATAGTCAAGATCATGGGCTGAAATTTCTGATTCACATCTTAAGCTTATAAGAAGCTTGTTTCGACCACAGTTTCTATCCACTAACCTCACTTTGCAATACATGGATAATACTGCATATTATTTCAAAGTCATGATAATCAAGCATAATAATAATGAATACAATTGGAAGGTTTTACATTTCTACAGAATTTTCATATTGACAAACATGCAATTTATATTCCAGAATCAGGATGAGAATAAGTGCAAATGAAAGAGAATTTAGTGGATCATGATCAACCTGAAATCCATTTCTTCTAAATATGACTAAGTTTGGGTTTAACCCAAAGACTGTCAATGTTTGTTTATTCATGTCAGAAGCATCAAGATTAATATAAAGCATAGTATATGATATAAAACTTAAAATTTAAAATACAAGATTAAAATATATGCAAGTTAAACAGATCTTGCCCAGAAACTAGCAACATTAATTGCATTCTGTTGTGTTCAAAATATTAGTGATTATTAAAAGAGGTTAAATTTCTATTTCATTTATTTTATTTCGATATTTTATATAGTTGCCTATTCGCTCACAGCGACTCTAGGTGGCTTACAGATAATTTAAAAATGTAGAAAAATTAAAATAATAAAAAGTAAAAATAACAAAATAATAAAATGAAAAACCCACCCACCCCCCTCAACAACACACACTCAAATCAATCATTTAATGAGCTCCATCCTACTCTGGCTTCCCCACGTCCACTGGCAAAACCATATCTTCAGAGCCTTCTGAAAGAGTGCTGGAGTGGGGGCCAGTCTATTTTCTAGAGGGATAATGTTCTAGGAGGAGGGAGCCACTATGGAAAAGGCCCTTTTTGTGGGTCCCGCCAGATGTACCACCTTAGGGGACAGGACTTGCAACATTCTTTGCCTCCCGCTCTAGTGGGGGTCAGGTGGATGTGACTGGCAAGAGATGGTCCCTCAAATAACCTAAGACAGTATTGGCGAAACTTTTCGGCACCAAATGCTGAAACAGGAGGGCACATGCGCATGCTTACCAGAAACTGGAAGAGCAGCCGCTCAGTGCGCATACATGCACCAGGAAGATGATCTTTCCAGCACGCGCATGCACACTGGCCACCCGCCAGTTTCTGGCATGCATGCCTGTGCGAAGACCAGATGGCCAGAGCGCATGCACACGCTGGAAACTGGTGCATGCTGGGCAGCTGCTCTTCCAGTCTCCGGTGCTCCCATGCACATGTTGGCCAAAGCACCAGATCCTGTAAGAGCAACAGGCGACAGCTCACATGCCCAGAGAGATGGCTCTGCGTGCCACTTCCAGCACAAGTTCCATAGGTTCGCTATCACAGACCTTTGGGGTTTATATTAGGTAAATTCCTTTTTAAAAACTATCTCACATAGATTTTTCTTCTCTAGAAAAACAGCAAAGATTCTTGAAACAAAAAGGCTAATCCAATAAAGTGTTGGCTCTAATCTGCTTAAATTCTCTTCAATGAATTCTACTTTCATTGGGTAGAAAATGTCCTTCCCTTAGATAGTCAACTTCATCCTGCTAGAAACACATAACTGTATAGCATGTTTAGTACTATAAAAGTAAATAATTGACAAAGAAAAAGGTGCAAGTGTTCCTATAGACTAGTTAAATTACAACTGAAATTTGAAATGAATTCAACGATATCTATTCTAAAGGCAAACTAGGCATCACAGTCTTGGGTTAATTCATGGATAGCCATTCAGCTCTCAAATCTATTTTATGTCCTCCCCAGATCCCTTTCACACATGGTTTCCCACAATTTAGGAAAATTAATTCATAATCCATTAGCAATAATAACATAAGTTACAGCTTTTTATTTTTATTTTAAAAATAAAATCCCTACATTCACTCTCCATCAAAAATGGGGGGGGAATACAAAAACACACAATTCTGGTTACATCTATACAAGTAACACAACCTTGCTCAACTATGAGTCTCACCATTGTATAAAAATATTAAATGCCACCTCAGCCTCCTTTAATTAAACAGCAATATAGAAGTTGACTGGTCATTGGCATAGCCAATTGCAATCAAATTCTCCCTCAGCAAACCAGTTCAGGAAAAATCTTCCCCGATGATAGGGTTTTCTTTTCTCTATAACTAAGGACTGCAGAAAAAAAAGTCAAGTTTATTTATATGTCATGAAATTATCTTTTACTATATGCAAAAACAAAGGATAAAGATCCTTCAGTACATTCTTTCTAAACTTATTTGTAACAGTTGTAACAATTCCCACAATTTTTACTTACACATAATCCTCTATTTCTGGTTACAAGTTATGCCCAAAATGTCTGTTGCTAAGCCAGATAGTTGTTAAGTAAATCATTGCAGTGGTTAAATTAGTAACATGGTTGTTAAGTGAACCTGACTTCCCCGTTGACTTTGCTTGCTGGAAGGTGGCAAAAAGTGATCATATGGTCCCATCATAACATGCAGCGCATGATACTGCAACCATCATAAATACGAATCAGTTACCAAGCAACTAAATTTTATCACATGACTATGGGGATGCTGCAACAGTGCTAAGTATGAAAAGTGGTCATCAATCACCTTTTCAGGGCCATTGTAACTTTGAATGGTTACTAAATGATGTAAGTCAAGGACTACCTGTATAATTGATAGAATGGTATAAAACAAAGACGAAGAAGAGAAAGAGATGAAGGTGGATTTAAAGATGGGCAAAATCACCATCCATCTTGTAAGCTTCTTACCTAAACATACATCACATTCATACTCATTTCCTCTCAGGCTTTGATTACCTGTTTCTTTTCCTAGACAAATGTGAGTGAAGACCCAGAGAAGCACTATGTCAGCGTTCGAAATTATGATCTCTTCCAGCGCTGACATGAATGACAGAGGGAGAAGCTTTGCTTTAATGCTGAGAAGAACTTTTACCTAGTTTCCTGCTCTTTAGTAGATAGAGTTACCTGGGTGATAGAGGGAGGGGGGAATTCCTGTGAAAAGAAAGTGCTTGGGATGAAGAGATGGATCTGCACGATGGCCAATGAGACATTGGGGTTGAGGAACGGAAAGGGAGGGGTTTGGAAGGAGGTGCCAGTTTTGGCTGCACAAAGAGTTCAGGGATGTCGTTCTTTCTATTCTTAAATAAAAAAAAAGATTCATTAGAGACCTTGCGTTTGAGAATGAAGTTTATTTAAGATAGCAGCGAAACCTGACACACTATTTATTTCAGCTTCTTGAAACAGCAACTGCCCAAGTAAGGCTTTCATAGAAAGTCTGGAAAACCAAGTTCAGCCTTCAGGTCAGAGGTTCCCATCTCTAGTAAAAATCATTGTGCAAAAGTATTGATGTTCAAAACAAGGAAATTCCAAATCACTCACAAACCTGTGTTATCCTGAATGCAAGGGAAATACAACTAGAAGGTTCAACTAAGTTCAGAAGAACTGGATGGATGATGAAATTCTTATTTCTTACCCGGAATGCTAGAATTATAAATCACATGGTTTCCTGGGTGGAAGGTTTTAATTTGGGGTGGATAGCCTGGTAGTGGTTTTGATGTTTGTCATTAATAACAGGAAGGCTTTTTTTTTTCACTGATATACACATAGCACTAATCTATGGCCACATTATGATTTTTGTAGTTCTTAGGCACTTTTGCTGTTGTAGATCCTCTTCAGTGAAAACAATAGGATTAAAAATATTTTGCATAATATTCAATACTTTATTTTTTTATAGAGAAATAGGGAGCAGTAAATAATATATGCATTTTTGTAATAATAATTAACTCACAACAAGCGATTATGTTTGTCCCAAATCATCAAAGTTATTAAATTTTACTATTCACATTGTGCCTATAGGTCTTTTTGTAGAAGGTAATTGGTTTGTTGTTCTAAGTGTTTGTGTTTCATTGGCAGTTTTTTAATTAAAA